TTATTGTAATAATGTTTCGTATTAAAAAAAACATTATTACAATAAATAAACAGCAAAAATTCACTAGTTTCTACTTCATAAATTATAAGATATTGCTAATAATCTTTAAATTTTCCCCTAAAATGTACTATTTCAATAATTTTCAATTTTTCAAACTATAAATATTAAAAATGTTTCACTGTATTCAGGGTTTCACTGTATTCAGGATTTTTATTATATTGCTTTACTACATTTAAATGTATAATAAATTTTAAAAATTTACTGATGTCCTGTTATTCAACTTTGTCAGATGTGTGTCACAAGAAATTCACAAAAATTTAGATAATTTTAAATAAATATACATAGTTTATATCTTAATCAGTTTAAAATTTAAACAATTCATTATTTACATAGCACCACCCAAGTGTTATATATATATATATATATATATATATATATATATATATATATATATATATATATATATATATATATATATATATATATATATATATATATATATATATATATATATATATATATATATATATATATATATATATACTCTTGCATGTTTCTTGCGTAGCATCAAAAAATGTTTCCCATAAACTGTAGTTTTAAAGAGCGCGTTAATAAACCAGACCAGAAAATGTTTTGAAAATTAAATTTTTTTTTTTAATTGATAGACTGCCTGGCCAAACCAAACCCTCAGTCGATGTAGCAGCAATCTCTTGCGAGTCAGGCTATTTGTCAGTCGTTGTAGCAGCACTCCCTTGCGAGTCAGGCTATTTGTCAGTCGATGTAGCAGCATTCCCTTGCGAGTCAGGCTATTTGTCAGTCGATGTAGCAGCACTCCGTTGCGAGTCAGGCTATTTGTCAGTCGATGTAGCAGCACTCTGTTGCGAGTCAGGCTATTTGTCAGTCGATGTAGCAGCACTCCGTTGCGAGTCAGGCTATAAGATAGTCGATGTAGCAACATTTACGCATGTTTTAAAAATGTTTTTTATTAAATCAATAACAAAAACACCACTAATTAAAAAAAACTTTCTAGTCGTTATAATTGCGGTTTTTTAAAAATTTTTTAAAAAACAATTAAATTTAATGTACTTCCGCATAAATTAATTGCTTTGACATTTCGATGACAATCAAAAACAGCTTAAGAGACGAGGTAATTAAAATTGTAGTCGTAAGAGACTTTTTTTACATTAAAATGCTCTTAAAGCTACACTATATGGGTATATATATATATATATATATATATATATATATATATATATATATATATATATATATATATATATATATATATATATGTATATATATATATATATATCAAATTAATTATTTATTTTTTAGTATGTTCGATTGCAGCCTTATGCATTTCCTTATCCAGGTATTTTAAATTAAATAAGATTTTTATAAGCAAATTAATATATAAAAACAAATACATTTTCCTATATAGTTATAGTTTCAAGCTTGCAGTTCCTTAAATTTAAACAAATTATAGATAGCACTTGCAAACAGCTTATATCATAGGTGAACATATTTTGATGACAAAAATCGTGTTTTGTAACAAAATGTTTCCCAACTTTGCAAATTCATTAAGCATAATTATAACTAGATTATAATTATGTTTAATTAATTTGCATAAGGTTATTATGATAAAGAAACATAATTATAACAAGGTATCACTGAATGGTTATTGGCAAACATACAATTTCTTAAAAACAGATACATACATAATACATTCATCCTTTGTAAGTTGGTATATTAATGGCTTACACCAAGTGCTCACCTTAATTCACTGTATTAGAAACATTTTAAATTATTTTGAAAAATGTTTTATCATTAATTTATAACTTGTTACAGTTACTGCATCAAATATTGTTGTTGTAATACGAAACAATCTTCATATATCTGGCATAGAAAATTATTTTGAAAAATGTTTTATCATTAATTTATAACTTGTTACAGTTACTGCATCAAATATTGTTGTTGTAATACGAAACAATCTTCTTATATCTGGCATAGAAAATTATTTTGAAAAATGTTTTATCATTAATTTATAATTTGTTACAGTTACTGCATCAAATATTGTTGTTGTAATACGAAACAATCTTCATATATCTGGCATAGAAAAAGCAAAAAGTATAAAAGCAAGTATTATCAAGCAAGCAAAAGAAACTAATGTATGTTTTTATTCATTATTTTGGTAAATTCATAAGTAAAATAATATCAAACAGTAAAATTATTCTATAATAGTATATAATTCCTTTAGGTTCTAATTGTAATTAATGTAATGTAATGTAGTATTTATGGGTATTAATGAGTTACTTAAGACTTTGAGGACTTTAAAAGAATTAAGCTTAAAATATATTTTTTTATATTAATATTTTTTTAAAGAAGAAGAACAGCAAATATTGTTGAACATGAAATTGGGATAAATGTTACTTGTAACCTAATCTACAATTTTTTTCATAAATTCCTCTGAAAAAACTCTAAATAAAATTCTAACAGTTCCTTAGGGTTAAATTTTATTGAATACTTTTTGAATATATTTTATTTACTTTTAACGTGGAAAACTCTATGTAAAGATTCATTAATTATATTTTGAGAATATTAGACTTTATAGTCTTATTAACTTTTTAAAATTAAATTTATTAATGAAGAAAACATAAATATTAGGCCTGCATAAAATGTATGATTATGTATGATATGTATGATAAAAATTTAGATATTGAATGTTATCTAAATTTGTTTGCACCTAAATAACTCAACCTAATATAACTGACTTATATTGGTTAATTTAAACTTGCTTGAGATAAAGCATTTAATGTATGATTTAATAAATTTCTACAAAATTCTACATTATTTAGTTTGCTTTATTTACATTTTTAATCATTATATTTTTATTATTAATGTTTTTATTTAGGAATATGTTATTGTGAAAATGTTACATGAAGATTGGGCAACTTATGGTGGATGGACTGTAATGCCACTAATTGATCAGTAAATGTGTTTTTTATTATCTGATTACTTTTTTTCAAATTTTTTTTTTTTTTTTATCTTTGGGCTTTTCATAAGTGGTTAATAAGTTCTTGATACTTATAGAAATTAGGATTGCATATTTTTAACTTTCAAAAAAAATTGTTGCTAAAAGACTTTTTTAACAACAATTTTGCTACCTCGACAATTAAGCTACATTTTATTGTCGTCAAAAAGTTAAAACAATTAAATTAATGCAGAAGTACATTAAGGTTTATCGTTTTTTGAAAAACCACAATAATAATGACTAGAAAGCTTTTTTTAATTGATAATGTTTTTGTTTTTTAAAAACATTTTTTTTAAACATGTATGGAGTCTTGTTACATTGACTATCTTGCCTGTCTAGCCTGCTGCTACAAGGGAGTGTTGCTAGATTGACTATCTTAAAGCTTGACTCGCAACAGAGTGTTGCTACATTGACTATCTTATAGCCTGACTCACAATGGACTGCTGCTACATCGACTGAGAGTTTGGTTAGGACTGGCAGTCTATTATTTAAGAAAAAAAAAAAAATTATTCAAGTTTTTAAACTTTTTCTGGTCTGGTTTATTACTCTCTTTAAAACTACTGTTTATGGAAGAAATAAAAAATATATAAATAAATAAAAAAAGAAAACCTGAATCTCATTCATTGTTCCACATTTTAAAAGTGAGTACTGGTTGACTTTCCAAACCAGTGGAGCAGTGGAATTCAGACCAGGATTTTAGAGTTGCATAACAATTTGTTTGTACAGTTATAGTTGTTAACGATGCATCGGAACGTGTTGTCAAGTTAATCTCAGAATTTGTTATAATCATTAGAACTGATATTAAGCAAAGGGCATGGTTGTTGCAGGGTGTCGAGCAGCATAGAAAGTTATATTCCAGTTTTGATAAAAAGACACTAAATTTGTAAAACTGTAGTGTAGTACTAAGTACTATATGAGTGTGTTGAGTATAAGAGATTAAATACTTTTCAAGTAAATTACTAATTTTTCAAGTTAAGACTGTAAAGTTCTTTACTTTTTATTATATTTGGTCTCAAAATTGACTCAAACATTTTTTTTTAAGTTGAAATATTAAATGTAATATCAACTTATTTTTTTTTTGTAAATCTGATTTGGTAAAAAATACCTTTATATTAAACATGATTTTGTTTAAATTATAATATTTTATAATGTAAAAGATTTTAATTTTTGCTCTAAAAATAGGGTTCAAATTTGGAGGCCTTGAGGGACCTCAGGATCACTTATCAAATCTGTAAAAATCATTTTTAGTTATGTTATTGATAGCATTAGTCATGTTATTGATAGCATAATGGGTAAAACTTTATTTCACATCGTTTTGACACTTTATGCTAGTTGTGGACAACCCTAATGCATTGGTGTAGATTCTGTTTTCTAAATGCAAAATTCAAAAAAAAAAAAAAATTAAAATTCATTGTTTTTATTTCTTTCTTTTACTACTTATGATTAAATATTCATATTCAAATATATTTTTATCAGGGAAGGAGGGGAACCGGGGCCGCAGCCCTCCCCCCCCCAACTTTTTTTCTAAAAAACTTCAATTTATAGTTTGTATTTATATTTTTATTCATACTATTATCATTATTTTTTGTTGTTACTGTTTATGTGTTTACTGTGTATTCTGTTTATACAGTTTATACAAATCTTATGGTGACAAGAAATGGATTTTTTTTTGTGAAGAGACAACTAAGGTTGATTTGAATGGTCTGCTTGCTATCTTATCAAGATATAATTATAATGAGGTATTTTTTGTGATGAAACACTCTACCAAAAGTTTATTTTATTAAAGATTGATAAAAAAAATATTTGGGTATGTGATAATTTAAATAATATATTAAATTTTAACATCACACATAAAGTATATTTGTTATTATGTATAAATCATGTTTCACATGATTGATACATAAAGTATAAATCATGTGCAATAAAATGTATATTCAGAATATATTCAAAAAAGTGTACATAAACAGATACATGTTCAAACTAGTATACAAACTAATAAATTTTTGTTATAAAATGCTGTTATCATTGTTATAAAATTCTGTATGAACTTATACATGTTCAAACACAATGATAAAAACTGAAAACAGTACAAGCTATTGAATAATCTAAACAAGCGATTTTATTTATGATAAAATTAGTTCATAATTCTTCAAAATAATGGTTTGTTATATGTATAACTAAATTATCTATCTACTTTGACTGTTGACTGTTTGACATCTACATATTTTGACTATTAACGGCTAAACAATTTATATACACATCTTATACTGTTCTCTTTCTACTCTATTTATTGCTTCATATTATTTTTATTTTGTCAAAGTTTGAACTTAAATTGCATCATAAGTCATTTGATATTGCATGAATTTAACCTAAATTCTATGCAGAACACAGTTTAATGCTGGGAAATATTCTTGCATTGGTGTAATATTGACTCAAGTTAAGTTTTCTCTCCTTGTGAACTGTCACCAGCAATTTGCTGTTTTTATAACATTTTAAAATATTTGAAAATTCTCAAAATAAAGAAAAATTGATTAAAAAGTTTAGAAATGTGATCTTATTATATCTGGACCACCCAACATTGATTTTAAAATTCATTGCCAATCCTCTATTTGATATTATTAGTTGTTGAAATTTAAAAAAAAAATCACAAGGGGTTAACATGGTGGCAAATAATGTCATAGGCTGCTAAGTGACCAGGGTCCCAGCCCTGGCCACGTATGAGTAAGGAAAATATGAAGATTGGTGAGAGTATTAAAGTTTTTTTTGATGTGCAAGGCATGAAGGGACAGGTACAGTAAAAGGATGCAACTATGGTGAATGACAAGCCAAGCAGCAATGAGTTTTGGTTAATTGAACTTCGGGTGATAACTCGTTTGAGCAGAACCTATGATAGTATTTGTAAAAAAAATGTAGTTGTAGGTCCAACTACATTTACAATTCATACAGGAAGTTAGAAAATCAAAATAACTTAAGTAAATTTTTCAAAGTTATTTTATATAAAACATAAATAACAGAAGACTAATATTTTTTATATATTTTCGTTGTATTCAGATCTGAGTAGATTAGATTGTTATCAGACATAAAGTAGTGCTAAAATAAAACTGATAAAAAACTCAAATTAGCTAAAGTTCGACTTAATGGGAATTTGCTTTAGCGGAACATTTATTAAATCGAACCATTTTCATTTTGTCCCTTGGAGGTTTGAGTAAGCAAGAATTAATCATAGTTATTTGCAGTAACTGAGTTTTTTGGATTTAAAACCACAAGCCACTGCAAGTCCCAAGCTGTTACAGAAAAGTGATCATATGCTTAAAGTAAAGTACAGTAGATCATATGCTTGTTCTAATAAATCGAAAAGTGAAAACTTTTTGTCAAGAGTATAAAGTTGAGTTGTTGGTAAATAGAGTCAAGACAAGAGTATAAATTTGAGTTGTTGGCAAATAGAGCCACTTTAGATATAAAAATGTCATAAAGATTGTTATTGTAGATAAGAAACAAAACAGGAGCATAGATCGAATACTGTGGGTGTAACCATTGTAACCATGGGTAACCATTTTCATTTTCAGTAACTCTTAAAGTTACTTTTCTTTATTTTCAGTAACCTTTAAAGTTACTGGAAACGAAGACGAGTGTAGGATTTTGAGAATGATTTATACTTTTGCTAGAAAGAAATGATTTAATAATCTCAAAACCTTTATATAAAAAAACTATTAATAGAGAGGACTAATCGTAGGATAGTTGGAGAGGTGCTTTCTAGAGGTTCGTGTGCTTTCTAGAGATTTTAAAAATTGGAACCACTTATTTAGTTCTGGAGAACACTTTTGAGAATGGTAATGTTGCGTGAACCACAAGCTGTAGAAGTGTTTAATTGATAATTGACCTTAGCATCAGAAGCCAAAGTGATTTGTATGTCTAACAATGGGTTAATCTGTTTAACTGGAATGGAAGGAAAAATACGGCCATTAGATTCAGCTGTCAAATTAGAAGAAAATTTCTTATGTTAAATATCTCAAATAGATATTTATGGATATAAATAAATTTGCTATTAAATTTAAATGATGGCATACAATATCTTTACATATTTATATAAACTTTAGTATTTATTTGTTGTAATATTTGCCGAAAGAGAAGATAATGATCAGATGGATGTGTGGTATGACTCTATCAAGACAAGAAAAGGAGCCATAATCTTAAACAGATTAGAAAAAAAATTGTATCAGACGATATTTTTGAGAGAAGATTAAAGTGATTTGGGTATCAGCATGTAGAGAGGTAACAGTTTCAGAAGAAAATTGTAGAGGTAGAAATAAGATATAGAGAATTACATTACATATGGTATGAATAAGCTTTAGTTAAGGAAAGAAGATGCTTGAGATTTCTTTATATTAGAGAAACAGCATAAAAGGGGAAGGCTAAAATTTGATGATGATCAGGATCATGATCATGTTTATGATGATCATGTTAATCATGGTGATTTTTATACATAAGTATACATGCATATATATAAAACATAACATGAATTTCGAATGAAAAAAAAAAAATGGATCTATAAAAGTTTATGCAGCCCCAATCACAAGCTGGTTAGCCCAGGCTGTTTTTTATCAAACCCAGCCCCAGCCCCAGTCAATTTTCAACCCTGGTTGTTTACTACTTTACAGTATTGTCTTTTTCATTTAGGTTGAAGAAGATTCAGTATTTGAAAAGTTAATATTATTTTTTTAATATTTTATTGAATAACAATGAAAAGGGTTCTTGAAGAAATTGACTTTTTTTTTCTTACTATAAATTTTAATTTGGCATTATTGGCTTGGCATTAACATCTTAGGGTCAAAGTCTTACAAGTACCACAGCATCAAAAGTTGGCAAATATTTTTCTTCAAAAAAAAAAAAAGTATACTTGTGGAGAACTTGATGTTTTTTTAGTATATTTTTTTGTATTTGACCTGAAATAAACTTTTAAAATATAGTTTTAGTGGTTTTCTTGAAACTGGTACAATTACAATGGAAATTTTGAAATGGAAAAAAATAAAATGGTATTAAGAAATGGAAATTCATTTCCATTTCTTTTTATCATCATTAATCTGGTTCAAAATATTTAATAATCCTAATATATTTTATCTATTAGGATTATTAAATTTTAGAAAATGAATGAATCAATTTTCTCCATGCTATTATTATTATACTTTTCAACATTTAAATAAAGTTTTTCAAACAATTTAACAGTTAAGAAACAAGAATTTATCTTTATCTTAACCTGGCAAACACAACAAAAATAATAAACTATATATACACATATATATAAATATATATATATATATATAAATATAAATAAATATATATATATATATATATATATATATATAAATATATATATATATATATATATATATATATATATATATTTTTTTTTTTATATGGGCAATTCCGTGAGAGTAGCGGTCGTAACATTTGACGCTCTATAAGTTATTAAAGATAAAAAACCAAAGACAGAAATGACTTGAAACTTTCCAGAAATTTGAAAAACTATAATATAATTTCGTATGTAAAAGTTACAGCATTAAAGTCTTCAACTTTTTCCAAAATTTGACTCCAAGTAGCGTGACGGTCGTAACGTTTACTTTTTACCACTTCTGAACAGAATGGTGAAAAAGAAAATCTTTTAGTGTGTGTATTTAGCTCATATTCATATTATTATATGCAGAGTTTCATAGTTTTTACTTGAAGTTTTACAAGCATTTTTTTGTTTTTTTTTGTTGTGACGGTTGTAACGAAAAATCCAATCTTTAAAAACAACAAATATAATGAATCAATGAAGTAAGAAAAAAAGTATAAATAATTATTTTCAACCATGTATATTATGTTGAAAAAATGCAATATAATATTATCAAAGTTTTCAATTATGGATATACAGTACGATTTTTAACACTACACAACAAGGCTGTAAATAAACATCAAAACACGTATATACGACCCTTACAACTTTAAAAACCATGCTGTGGTATGATAAAAATTTTTTAATTACTTTTGGCTTAAAAGTATTTTAAAATAGTTAAAAAAAAGAGTTTTTGAGTTTAGTATGTGTTTTCATAACTTTTTTGCTTTTTTTTTCTTCCTCTTTCTTGCGTAATTGCCCATATATATATATATATATATATATATATATATATATATATATATATATATATATATATATATATATATATATATATATATATATATATATATATATATATATATATATATATAAACATTTATAGAATGTTTTTTTGGGTCATGCATTGTTTGATTCTACACCTGTTATTATACACCATTTTAAATTTATGAATAACTCTAAAGATTTTAAATATCCTGATTTTGATGCTGGATGGGCAATATCAAAAGGATTATTGAAACAGTAAGAATTGAGTTTTTTGTACCAAAAAATTTACATTATATCAAGACATTATTTGTTTTATCAACAACAATATTAGTGGTTTGTTATATTATGTAATAACATACTTATATTTCTATAAAATATAATTAGTGCATATGTGATATTTTTTTTACAAGGACATTTGAAAGATTGCAACATAACAAATTTTCTGGTTTTAGTATTGATGTTAAATATGAGGTTAGTTTTTTGAATGTTTTAGATTTATATTTAGTTATCGAAGTAAAATAAATAAGTTAAATTGTAATAAAAAGTTAAATTGTATTAAATTTTATTGATAATCTATAAGATTTATGTTTTAAATTATAAAAACAGATGTCATTTAGAAAGGTCAAAAGAGGCTCTTTAGTCTTATGTAGGTAAACTCTGACATCATAATATAATATGGGTTTGGATAGGAAGAGCTTGTATGGCAATTTTTCTGGTAGTTGTGTTACAATAAATTTGGGAAAATAAATTATATTCCTAACTGTAAAACTGCTTATAGCAATCATAAGCATAAATATATACATACATACAAACTTTATATTTTTTAAATTGCTGTACTAAAAACTTGTTTTAAAATACGCTTGGTTCTCCTCTCACTCCATTCTTCATATATCATAACAATGTGTTAAATTTTGAAGGCATTAAACTTTCTCATTTTAAATAATAGTATAATATAATTTTAAATTGCAGTAAAATGTTAATAAAAGATGTTGAATAATAAAATAAATAAAAGTTAATTGAATTTAAAACATTTACCGATATGACAATTTTTATCTATGGATCCTCTTACTGAAATAAAAAAGTACAGATAAAACAGTTTTTATTTACCGATAAAACAATTTAAGCAAGTAAACATTTTATAAATGCAGCTAATTTCAGAGGTGGTAAACATTTTGTAATGCAACAAATTTTAGAGATCGAAAGAATCAATAATCACCACAAACAAGTTAAAAGGTTAAAAATGTAAACTGTATTATTGAAATATATTAAACAAACTAAAAAAAAAAAAAAACTTATGTAATATGGGTCGTATTTTAGTCATGTAATATAATTCATTTATATTTAAAGTTTTTCAAAAACTTTCTTTCAAAACAACATACAAAATTACAAGGTATGTAATAGTAAAAAAAATCATTCCTTTAAAACTTTAATTATTTTTTTTGTTCTATTTCTATTTGGTTCTACGCTGAGGCGCAATATAAAGTATGGGGAGGATCCATACTTTATATTGCGCCTCATTTTTTTTTTAATTGTAAATCTTTTTTGTTTGTCAAATACTTTTATAAAAAATCATAGAAACATCCAACATAAAGTGCAAGGGGACCTAAACGCAACACATACAGCTGTAGTTTTGTTGTAAAAGTTAAATTTTGTTATCATAACTGCTTATAAGTGGTATTTCTTGTCCACATGCCGGCAAAAATTTGTTAAACAAAACAATCAAATCCATTGCAGCTGCGAAAACAAAATCTTTCCTCACTTAATTATCACCAACAAACTCTATCAAATCCTAAAAATAAAACCTGATGAAGCCTTCAGCTACACAAAACAAGGTCATTCCCACTGTCTTGTGGATTTGTTTCCTTTTTTGCCTACATCCATTACTTTACATTAGTCTGAATTGAATAGCAAGAGCCATTTTTTTGACCACACAACTGCTTTGTTGATGTCATTTTGCAAGAAATTAGCGTCTTTACTTGATTTGAATACTCCCATAATTTTACAATCAACAGCATAAATTTTGTTGTTCTGGACCCCTTCTTGAAGATAGGCGTAACATTTGATCTCCAAAGGTCTGGAATAATATTTTCTTTAAACAATTTATGGTAAACTATGTAAGATGTGTAGTGAAGGTAGTTGTGCATAATTTTAAGACTCAGATTGAGGCCATCAAAACACATTGATTCAGATTGTTTAAGGCACTCCAGCCTGAGTTGGACATCAGTGAATTAAATAATGTAATCATTCATGTTGCAAGTTAAGTCATTTTTTTTCTATGACATTTTGTCATTTGCAGTTTTTAAAGCAAATACAGATCAGAAGTAATTGTTAAGAATACTTGGTAATAACATTTAGTCTGTGGATATATGGCCATTTTCATCTACTAGTGATTTAACTGTGTAATTGGCATGTTGTTTATGTTTCACTTTGTTGTGTAGTCAAACCATTGGAAATGGTTTGTAATTTGCTACTGCAAGTACAATGAAGCCATTAAAGGTTTTATTCCGTCTACAAGATTGCCGATAATAAACCTTGAACAAGTAAGAAAAGCAGTTAAATATAAATGCAACCTTTTTTCTTTTTTTTTCCAAGGTTTTTTTATCAGTATACTGCAGTTCTGTGGATTGAATAAAACTTTAATGGCTTCATTGGACTTGTCTACTAATAATTTGTAGCAGTTTTCAGGAGGTAGTTCTTTAAAGTAGTTGGATTGCCAGTCGAATGCTGAGATATAGCTTGATATTGCATTATAGTAAGCTTTGTGCCAAAGTAGTCTGCATGGTTTTTGATGGTGTCCATGAAGACTTTTAAAACTTAATAAGGCAGTATGCATTACCTCGTTCTGTGTAGCTGAAGACTTCATCAGGTTTCAGTCTGAGGATTGGATCATGTTTATTGGTGATGATTAAGTGGGGAAAGGTTTTGTTTTGCAACTGTGATGGATTTGGTTATTTTGTTTAACATTGTGTCATTGTTGTTGTAAAATCTGTACATAAATGATTTTTACTGCAGCCTAAATGATTTAGATTTGATTTAGAACCACATTTTATGATGCATCATACTTGCTCAATTTCTTTGGAGTTAAGTTGTTTGATATTAGTTTCAATTGTGGCAATACCATTTTTTTTATATGGCTAAACCTTTTTGACCTATATAATTGCTATGGTGTTGTTGTTAACCAGTGAGTTATCTAATGTCAGTGAACTAAGGTTCTGCATTGTATTGTTTTGTATTTTGATTGCTTATATATTGTATTTTGTATTGTTTTGTATTTGTTATTTTGATTGATTGCAACATCATCTTTTTTATTGTTGTTAAAAGAACACTTGTTGTTGGCCTAGAATCGTAGTTATTTGAGTTTGGTATTTTTGTTATCATTGTTTTGAAGTAAAACTGCTGACAGGAAGTAATTTTTTGAGATTAACCTAGGGGCTGATAAGGTTTAAGCACTCGATACTTTTTTCTTCCACGTTGTTGAGGAATTCTAGGTAAAGAATTTTTTTTTTTGGTACACCTTTATTATTTTGTTTTACTTAAAAAAATTCTGCCCAAAAATTTTTTTTTATCATTCTCTTTAATATGAACACAAATTGTCTCGCACTTTGGGATCCCTTCTGACACAATATAATTTCATCATGGATAGCAAACTTCAAGCTTTATTTCTTTTTTAAGCTAAAAAATACAATAATTTAATTTTGCATTGAATTTATTTGATTATGTAAAATTATGTGAAAAAAATAAAAAAACATTTTTTTAAAGAACTAAATTTTTTTCAAAGAACAATAACTATTATGTATAATTGATCCGTATTACATTATAAGTTAAATAATTAGTACATTAAAAAGCAAGCAAAATATATGTAATTTTTCAAAATTGGTGTATCATCTTTATTTTAAATACTTAAAAATAATATTTTTTATAATTGTTTTTTTTTTTTTAATATTTTGATTACAAATGTTGTTCCAAAAACTTTTCCAAAAACTTTTAATGTAATTTTAATGCAACTACTTTTACTAACTAGAAGTAAAAGAAAAAATTATAAAAATGTTTTATAATTAAAAAAAATAAAAAGTATGATATGCTCTTTTTATGACACCCCTTCCTCCCCCCTAAAACTTTTTTTTTGTGGTTTTAATTATGATAATATTTTTAATTTTCTTAGCTGCTTTTAGTTATCTAATGAATTTATTAATTTTAGTTATTTTAATAAATAACAATTTAAACTATTATTATTTAATATTACTTTTAAAGTCATTATTTGTATGCGCGTACAAATGAACAGCCCATAAAAAAAAAAATTATTTGTAGGCATATAAACTCAAAACTCTTTAATTTTTTATCATAACATAAAAATTGCATAGTGCCATGGATAATAAAGCTAGCATGATTAAAGGCGCTACTATCAAGGTTCAACTTTTAAGAGATTGAAACCTAACATTATGATGTTTTTATTTGAAAATAGTTTTATGTGTTTTAATATGTTTTAAAGTTTCTCAGAACAATAATTAATGCATACATAAATTGAGTGATATGGTCAATAGTCGCAGTGTAGTTACATTCATTGACTGACTTGAGGTATGGAGGAAGTGAAGTATACATATGTTCTTTTTTACCCTCTTATAATTCGATATATAGTTGTATAAGTTAACAGTGACTAAACAGACAAATAACCACTGAAGATAGTTTTTGATAAATATTTTGTTTAAATAACTTCTTTAGAAATATGTTAGTATCACGGTGCAGCGAAATCAACATTAATCTACTAAAATTTAATTCAATTTAAAAAGTTGATTTCAATAAAACTATAATCAAATTAATAAATCAATCCAAGTTAAGTTAAATTATTAATAGCCGCAGTGATTATGATTAATCAATAGTTTTTCTAGATTTGCAACGAGAAGAAAAAAAATGTTGCTTTACAAAATTTAAATACCATTTCCAACTTTTTCCATAACCTGTCATAAAGTTGCTAACAACCCTCTCTCCTTTGTGTGATGTAACAACCCTCTCTCCTTTGTGTGATGTAACAACCCTCTCTCCTTTGTGTGATGTAACAACCCTCTCTCCTTTGTGTGATGTAATTTGTGGATGACTCATTATCTGAGTATTACTTTTTTGTTTAGATTTAGTTATATATTTAGTTAAATGTAAAATTTATTAAAAATCAATTTGCTGAACTTAAAAATGTGAAAAAAAGTGCAACATAAAGCAATTACACATAGAAAATTGAAGTATTACAAAAAAAAATTAAATTATTTATTTGACACATTGTTTGATTAATCAATTAATACAATTTTAGGTTGCTTACTATTTTTACAATGAAGGCAATGGAACAATGCTTACCCATGTTCCAGCATTTTGTATAAACAAACCAATTCAACTTGGAGTATGTGCAACATCAACAATGTGGGAGGTTCCAAACTGTGTAAGTGTTTCAGTTTAATACAAACTTCTACGCAGGTACAGTTAAGGTGGACTTATGAATATGTTATAAAGATTGGGACTAGTAGTTATTAAAATATTTGACATACACTTACACTTTGCTTAAGTGTTTATTAAAAGACTTAAAACACATTTTTTTTAAAATGTGTTTTTTTAAAACCTTGTTAACACAGACATTTAATTTTTAAAGTTTATATTTTTACCACTTTTAGCAAGGCTGCAGCAATCAATATTTAAATTGGGATTTACTAGAAAAAGAATAGAAGAGCAAGAAAACAGCTGATTAAAAAAAACTGTATGAGTCAAAACAGCTTGAGTCAGCTGGGAGACAATTATGAAAAAAATTTGAGAAAAATAAAATTTTCAAACATGAAGAAACAGTTACAGTTAAAGAGGTAAATAGATAAAGCAAAATGAAGGACTAGTAGGGCGCACCAGAAGTTGATTGTAAAAAATAAATTTAGTAAAAAACTTGCTCCCTGCCCTTTTTTTGGCCAGCATGCCAAAATGTAATAATAAACGTAAAACAGGTAATTAGGGTAATATTAAAAAGTTTCATGTGCTACTATAATTAGTAAGTAACAAGTGGAAAAATTGCTGAACTTAAATATTTAAATTCTCTAGATAGTACTGTGTATTTAATTGCTAATTAATTAATAAAAAATTAACAGTGAGCTAACTGTGACTCTAAGGAACGATAATGGCCCATATTGGAATTACCAGCTTTTAGAGTCCCCACAAAAGGAGATGTTATTCCCTTGTCTTTTTATTTGAAAGATGGACTAATTAAGTAAGAGAAGCATAGCCGTTGTACAAAGTACAACATATTGTAAGTACAAAGTTGGCAACATCTTATTGAAGTTCAGCAGAAGTAAAAACCAGCATTGAAATACAACTTAAAGACAAAACATTGAAATAAAAAAAAAAAAAAAAAAAAGGAAAAAGCAAAAGTTCTTGATCTGTATGATAATTATAAAACACTTAAAAGGAAGAAAAAAAAAAAGGAAGAAAGGGTGCACATCAAACAAAGAAAAAGAAAAGATTTTTGGTGAGAAGTTAAAACAGTACTTTTTCATAGAATACCAAGATTTTCAGGTGAAAATAGAAATTGAAAGACTTCGTACCAAAAAAAAAAGGGCAAAGATCTTGAATTCCTGAGTGCTCTTCAAGCTCAAAAAAATGTGTGTCTAGGTGCAGAAGACAAGATCTATACGACAAAAGTAGAGCATAAAATGAAGAGAACTAAAGTCTTCTTAGGAAGAAAATGGATCAAAAGCAAAGCAAGCAAAACTTGTTTTTAACAATTAGTGAATCCTCAGGTCAACAATCAGGAAATGAAAGTACTGATAGAGTTCTGTAAATAACCAGAAGACAAGGAATTTGAATGTCATGTAAAAAAGAAGAGTTTGACAAGTGTGACAAAGATGAAAGACATTAACACTTTAGCTTTCAAAAAGCCTGTTAAAGAGTGCAAAAATATCTACAAAGGTCGATAGGTTGAGTTTGTCAGCTGGTTAAAGAACAGGATTGATGGCTCTTACTTATGCTGTGATACAGGAGTAGAGTGTTGAAAATGCTATTGTAGATCAGTTTTTGACACAACTGCTTTTATTCCTGTAAGAAAAATGGGGCTTGTGTCAAATTAGAGACATTACTAGGCAAAAAGGTATTCTACTTCACTTGTCAATACCATATATTGGAAAAAATAGTAACCGGTTTGTTCACAATTGCAGGGTGGTTAATGACATGGCAGAGAGAGCAGTCAAGCTCATCACAGACTTTGCTGGAACAATTACAAAGGAAGAAATACAGAGACAATACCTATTGAAAACAGCCCAACAGCGCTGATGCGAAATTTCAAATTTCAAGAAAACAAATTTGCGTGATTCTCTGGCCTAATTTTAGCTTATTTGCACCATCTCTTGTTGTTTGTAGTATGAGTAAGCATTTTAATTTTATGAACAGGAAACCCTCAGGAAACTTATCCAGGACTATATATTTGATTACTTGATTAATTTGGAAAATGGTAAAGTTTTTGAGATTTTTATAATTTTCATTGTCTTGGTGGCAAGGCTAAATTTAAGTATAAAAATAAAAAAAGTTGTCTTGATTGATAATCATAAAAATAATGGGAAAAAGGGCAGAGAGCACAATAATTAAAACTTTAGTTTTTTTGGAGCACCCTAATAACTTGTTGTTCTAGATTGAAAACTTACAAAATGTGACAGTGACTCAAGTCTGTTAACTAGAATAGGTGCAACTAAGTTTGCAATATTTTTATTATTGAGCCTTGTCTAAAAATGTAAGTGCATCATTAGAAGAACCAACCCAAAATATGTATTGTATACAAGACTTATAAAAAAATAATAATAAAAGAATTATAAAATTAGATATTAAGATTAAAATTAGTATAAAAGAACTAGAGAATTAGAGAATGAAATTAGGAATAGCAAAATGGTGAGCACTATAAAGAGAGGCAACCTAGTAACAGATGTTTGTTGTGCAATGGATTCAATGGGTTCCATAAAAATAAAATCTGAAAAAACTCTATAAGACTTTTAAGTTCAATAATAATTGCATCTAAAATCAACATTGTTGTAATACTGATTAGCACTAAATTTTTTGTTAGCGAAAACTCACCACTGTAAGCTGTCTGGATCAAGGGATTAAATAACTTCAAACTTTAAATTTTTCTTATGTTTTATATTTTTTAATGTTAATAAATTTGATATATATATATATATATTTATATATATATATATATATATATATATATATATATATATATATATATATATATATATATATATATATATATATATATATATACATACACACACACACATACACTTTTATAAATAAATATATATTTATTTATATAACTGTATATTTTTATGATAAATTTAAATCTTTTTAAGCGATTTTTATGAACAACAACAATTTTAAGGGTTGTTAAAGTTCATATAATTAAAAATATAACAAAATATTATGGTTGCAAAGAACTGAAAAAAGAAAAAAGTAAATAAAATGTTCAATAGATTCAAATGTTGAACTAAAATCATTATTGATGTTTTATTATTCTATGTACCCACAAATTGTTTTAATCCTCTACAAACAATAAGTTGCCAGGTTCTTTAAGATTAATTTATTAATATTTTTTTGTTGTTGTTGCTGCAAATACCGCTTTTAAAAACTTTACTAAATCAACTGAAATTTATATTTTCTTCTGTAAAAAGTAAAAATGTATGTACCAAACATCAGGGGTATTGTGTGAATCAGGAGGTATTGTGAAGCAGTTTTTCTTAGTATATTATTTTTGCCATGAAATTTAGTTTTAAATATTATATTTTTTTATTTTGTAGTTCTGTATTATCTATTATAACCATACTTATTTATATATTATTTTATAGTATTGTATATTATATTATAATATAATGAATCACCCGACCTAAATATAGTGAAATGTGTATTTAGCCTTCAGGCTTGTATCTGACAAATCTAGACTAGTCAATTGTTTCTAACTTTAAAAAGAACACATATTGCCTAACCAAAATAAAATTGCAATCAAATCAATTGCAATCAAATCAATTGCAATTGAAAGATTTAGTTGTTCTTTTTTTATTTGTTTGTTACAAATACAAAGAAATGCTTAGTATCTGTAAAAAGCTTTATTTTCTAAACTAATGCTAAAACATGTTATTTGTTTATTAAATGTGTTTATTTTACGAGCATTTTTTTTTTTTTTTTTTTTGTTAGTAAAAAAAACTTAAAAACTTAAGTTAATGCAAGATTTGAATTAAATAATTTGAATTAAATTAACAGAAGGTTGGAAATAAATAGATCACACGATCTAGGGGGCCAATTCTGATCACCGAAACAAACAAAGAGAGAGTACACGAATTGGAAATGTCTCATGTAGTAATTGAGGTGTTTCATGAGCTGTATGGGACCGTCTTGTTGAAACCACATATTGGCCACATCAATACCATCCGATTTTGGGAAAAATAATAGGGTTACCATGTCACAATATTGAGCCAGTAACAGTCACTGCTTGATCAGCCTTTTTTTTTTAAAAAGTATGGTCCAATTATGCCTCCAGCCCAAAATCCATCCAAACAGTGACACTTTGTGGATGCATTTGTTTTTCGACAATCACATGTAGGTCCGAAAGCGGCAATTTTGGCGATTAACAAACCCATCAAGATGAAAATGTGCTTTGTTGCTTAGGATGTTTTTGCTTGAAAAATTAGCATCCACTTGTTAATGCTCAATAATCCATTGAGAAATCTCTTTACTTTGCATGATCATTAGACTTTAATTGTTGTGTTAATTGAATTTTGTAGGCATGGAGATGCAGTTTTTTAGTTAGTATACACTGAAGAGGGCTACTTGAAATTTGCACTTCTTGTCCACATTTATATATAAACTTATATATATATAACTCCATTTTGAATGAAATTTTTGAACTGCAGCCACCAAGCTTTCATTGTTTTTGAAATATTGTTCATTAATGAAGATACGTTATTCTTTTGTAACACTCCATTTTTAATAACCCTAAACTGTCAATACTTTACTACATGAATGGTGGCAAATTTAAATCTTGCGTTAATTTTGAAACACCTTTTATATATAGGGAAAAAATTAAAAAAAATTAAGTTTTACAGAAAATTCTGACTTTCTTTTTGATGCCTCCCATAAGTTTCTGGACAGAGTGATTTTTGTAAGTTTTAGCAGCGTAATCCCATTTTTTCTTCAAATCTGTAGCTGATTTTACTGTTTTTCCACTTAATTTCAATTTCTTTTTTATGATGGCCCAATATTTTTCAATAGGATGTAATTCAGGGCAGTTTGGAGGATTCATCTTTTTCGGATCACTTCACAACCAATATCACTCCATTATCATCGTAAAACTTTTGAGGATCTTTTGAGTAATGTATTGTGGCTAAATCAGGCCAAAGCAATATTGAAATACTTCTATGAGCTTTAATTAGTCGTTTTATACGAGAAAGACAACATTTCAGGTATTTCGAAGATTTCATTGTGCCCAAACAAACATGAATTAGCAATTTTTTGCCGCAAGAGCAAAGTGCCTGCCAAATCATCAATTTTTTCGAAAATTTATCAGTCATTACATACTTGTATTTATCACTCACATTTCCTTATATTTTAGAAGCATAGTAGCACTGCCCAGGAATTTGTTTAAAATCCGTTTTAACAAAAGTTTCATCATCCATCAAAATGCATCTATTATGTTTTGTTAACAAGTTGTCATACAACTTTCGAGTTCGACTCTTTGTGGTTGGATTTTGTTTATCGTTACGATTTGGCATTTTAACTACTTTAAAACTTTGATATCCAAGTCTCTTTCGCCATTTGTGTACAAAAAAATTGGAAACCTTCAGTTTTTTCGCTCGAAATCTATCAGACCAATCAGGATGTTCTTCCAATGAAGTCTCCAACCGTTCGAGAGCTCTAGGATTTGCTGTGTTTTTTTTTCGACCACTTCCTTGTTTTCTCTGAATAGTTTTCTGTTCTGTAAACCGTTTAAAAACAGTATTTACAGTTCTTCTTGATATTTTTAATGATTTTGCCAACTTTCTATTCGATAAAGTTGGATTTTTTAAGTGTTTGTCCACAATCAAAAATCTTTGTTCAGTTTTTTCAGTTGACATTTTGAAACTAAATAATATTTTTAATTATTTTTTTCTGCTAAAATGTTTTATTATACAAACACTACCACACAAAAAAAAATAATTTCAAAAAACGACCGTTAACTAGCTTTACCACACAGCAAAAGGTGGGCAGATTTTTCCGATAGCATGCCTTATATATATATATATATATATATATATATATATATATATATATATATATATATATATATATATATATATATATATTCATTTTATTAGGCAGCATGTTTACTGATATTGGATTTAAATTGTTAGAAATCTTATAAAATTATTTTAAATCTTAAGATAGTAAATTGAGTTAAAATTTAAATGAGTTTCAGTTTATGTGACTCACTAAAATAATTGTTCTGTTCTGTTAAGTTGGTTAACATTTGGAAGAGTTTTAAAGATTTGTTTCTTTCTTTTATTTACTTTCTTCAATGCCGTTTTTGAATTTTTGAACCGAATTTTTAAAAACTACTATTAGTGATTATCATTTCAAATATATAATTGTAATAAATAAATGTTTGAATAATTGTAGGGAGAAGTCGATGCTGATAATATTTTGGTATCAGTTCAAACCAGCCAGAAGTTTCATGAAACAAGAAGTAAGAAGTTGTTAACTCTTTTTTTTTCAATTTATTTTATTTATAAATAACTGTTTGTTTTTTACTTTTTTTTAATCAATAATTTTTTTTTAGTTATTTAAATTTTTTTATCTATATCATATTATAGTTTATTTATTTAGTTATCTTAACAAACAAGTAATAAAATTAATAAATTATAAACTTAGTAAATAAAATAAAAAAGATAATACTGTAATCAGGTACAATATGTAATATAACATTTTAATTTTTAGGCTACAAATTAGCTTATTGGTTTTAAAATTTATTTTTTCCTTCTTTGTGTCCTTTTGTGATAGTATCAATCATTTTTTCTGTTATCTCCTCAAAAATAAACTCATGATACCCATAGCAAGTATTTTTTTCTGTTATACCCATAGCAAGTATTTTTTCTCCTCAAACATAAACTCATGATACCCATAACAAGTATTTTTTGTTTTACTTATAAACTAATAAAATCACTACTAATTTGTTCAAGCATAAAAACTAAGTACAAGTAACAAATACAAATGTGAATTAGCTAACAACTTGAGTTAATCAGCCAATCACACCAAAAAATACCACAACTACAACATCAAATATATGGAAACTTTAATTTATGAAATCTATTTAAAAACCTTCATATACATTTATGCAACATTATGGTTGATTAAGAATTTTCTTCAACAGTCTAGGGAAGACATATAGATTGCTAAAACATTCGGTTGTTAAAAGAATATAGATGTGTAGAAGGGGGAAGGAATACTAATTGTTTTTGTTTTCCTGCGCACACACTTTATGGAGTCCCCCTACTGAGACAAGTGTTGATTCAATAATAATGATTTGTTTTGCATGGTCCAAAGATATTTTTTTTTTTAGTTTAGTAAAACAAACTGAAAAATGCTTGATACCTTGGAAATTTGTTCAAATTTACTGTGTAAACCATAATTTTGCAAAATTATTATTCTCTTAAATTATTATATAGCAAACTTTGAAGTCAAAATTAATATATTAATAAATAATATACATGCATATAAAAATAATTTATAGTTAAATAACTAAGTTAGATTGCATATAATTTATTTATATGTGTATAAATTAATATTTATTTTAATATTTTTTCATTTAATTTTTTTTAATTGCAGTTCCATTTGTTCAAAAAACTATTGGTTTACATGCAAAGAATATAGTTTATTACAGTGATGTTGTTGACAAGACCATCCCTACTGAATGTGCTGAAGTCACAAACATAGAAAGAGGGCATTGTCAAAAGTTCTTCAATATATTACAAATATTTTCCAAAGACAAATGGAGAAAGGTTTCTTGGTTGGTTGTTATAGATGACAACACAGTGATGAAGTAATCTTGCTATAAATGATAATTTTTTATTTTTAATATATATTAAATATTTATTTTTACTTTTTATTTTTATATGACATATTTTTTACTTTTTTAAAAATGATAAATTTATCATATTTATATTAATCTTAGCTTCAATTCTCTGCAAAAGATTTTATCATGTTATGATCCTAAAGTTGCTCTGGTCCTTGGTGAAAAATATGCCTTTTTAATTAATGATCCTTATGGATATGAATATCCTGCAGGAGGCGGAGGGTAAGTTTTAAAACCTTTAACAGATGTTGAAGAATAAGCTTAAAAAATTGTGCACATAAGGGTAGAGTAAAGGATTTTTTTTTATTAAATGTGTAAAATATTATTTAAATACCACTGGAAGAAACCTGTTATATATATATATATATATATATATATATATATATATATATATATATATATATATATATATATATATATATATATATATATATATATATATATATATATATATATATATATACAGTGTTGTGAAAAAGTTAAGAACCCCTAAAGAAAAAAAAATTATTTTCAAATAAAACTTAATTTTTCTTCTAAAGAAAACAAAATAGTATTTTTTTTTTTTCATACATTAAATAAAACATAAAAAAAAAAGATTTTTTTTTTTTTTTGAAAATTAATTAATAGAACCTATAAAGATAAGGATTAAATATTATGTATTAATTTTTTGCAATATTTTTTTGTGAAAAAGTTAAGAACCACAAGGAGTTTTTTGTGCTAAATGCAGTGGAAATGACTTTTTTTAATTGATTTTTACCTTTTTTAATTAAATATTTTATTAATGACCTGAGTCAATACCGAAAAACCAAAAGTATTTAAAAAAAAGTATTTAATTTAAAACAAAAAAAAATTCTCTTCTTTTGAAATAATGAGCAGAAAAGCTATAACCTATGAAGATCGTGTAAATGTAGTTCATTTTCACCAGGAAGGTAAAACCGCTCGTGAAATTGGGAAAATAATAAAACGATCACATAGTTCAGTGCTAACAATCATCAAAAGATTTAGAGAGACGAAATCTTACGTTGATCGCCGTCGTTCTGGAAGACCTCATTTGACAACACCCAATGATGATCGCCTTTTAATCAGGTTGGCAAAGAAAAATTAAACTATGTTGTTGCATGAATTAAGAAGAGAATGGAAGCTTTTGAATGGATGTCAAGCATCGGCATCACCTGTGCATAGGAAACTAAAGCTAACAATATGCTATGGAAAAAAGCTGTTCTAAAACCGAGACTTACCAAACAACATGTAAAAAAGCAAAAGAATTTTGCCAAAGTGTCAAAGAATGGTCTAAAGAAAAATGGAGGACAGTAATGTTCAGTGATGATGAATATTGAAGTTGATAACCGAAAAAACCAAATTATGATTCACAGGCAATTTCCGAAAAATATAATCTTGATTGTATCGTTCAAAGAACAAAACAAGTTAGCGGGTCGGAATATGGTACTGCATTACATATTATGGTCTTGGTATGTTTAAATTATTTGATGGTCGACTCAACTCTATTTATTACCTCGATATTTTAAATAACAACTTGTTACATCAATTGATGCACTTGAGCAAAGCGTTCCGTTCATTTTTCAGCAAGACAATGCACCATCAGGGCGCGAAAAATCGTTTTTTTTTTAATAAACGTTGACGTTCGTTTCTTTATTTATTGACGAACATCTAATTTAAGAGGTATGTCAAATATTTTATTTAATTATAAGGGAGTTTTATTTTTAAATTAATTTTATTCTAGTTAATAAGATATATAATAATTAGATATATCAAAGATACTTATCGAATATTATCAATTTTTATTAATTTAAAACAATTTTTCACGCATTTGCAAAGTGTGCGCAAATTAATGATAACTAATATGCAATAAACTTTTCACTGTAAACTGTTATCCATTAATACAAAATAGAGGATTTTTCTCAATTTAGTTTGTTAAATTATAAAAAAAAGATATAAACTTGATGAAATTTAAATAAAAGGGAACTATTTAAAAATAAAATAAAAGATATTTTGACATTTTTATTTTTTTAAATATTTAAAAATAATAATATAGTATTAAGCATTTAATAAGTTATAAAATTTATAATTTAATAAGTTACTATCAAATACCTGATATGGTATTATTATATTTATAATATTAAGTATTTAATAAAAAAATATTATATTATTGGTTGTTAAACGCACAGTAAAAAATGAAAACTATAATCAACATAATAGTTCTATAAAATCTATTAAATTTTATATATTTCTGCAAATTTTTTTTAAAACTTTAAAAACAGCAAATAAACATTAATTTAATGATAATAAGAAAATTTAAAAAAAGCACGCCTTTGGAAAAAAGAATGTTTTAGCATGGTTCTGTTTAAAGTAATTGCAAATGCATTCATTTTAAGTTAAACTTGCCATTCTTTTGTAAACACATGTGAAAACCATGCTAAATATAATTTTTTCTACAGTTGCATACTTAAAAGAAACGCTATTGAAGAAAGTATTAGCGCGGTTTCTTTTAATGTCATTGAAACTGCGTTTTAAATTTAAGTAACTTATTTTTTTAATATTAATTATGTTTTTTTTTTATAATAAATAAAAAATTATCAATCGCATAATTATTTGGAAATAAAAAATTGCTAAAGATATCCGTTCGTTTTTAAAAAATTTAAGCGAACGCCAACGTTTGCTTAAGTAAAAGTAAGGAAACGTGACGTTCGTTTTTCTGTCTTTTTTTTAACAAACGTTTGCACGTTCGTCGATTTGTCGCGCCCTGACCATGCCACAGGGCTAAAATTGTCTCTGATTGGTTTGAAAGCAAAAATATTGATCGTCTAACTTGGCCACCAAATAGCCCAGATCTAAATTGCATTGAAAATCTTTGGAGTTAGCTTGATAAACAGATTGCCAAGGAAGCACCAAGGAGCCTTGAGGAGTTGCACAATATTTTACCAATAATACTTAGAAATATTTCCAAAGAATTTAATAGACTCAATGCCAAATCGTATAAATGAGTGCTTTAAAATTCATGGTAGTATTAAGCGATATTAGGTAAAAATTACCGTTTTTGCTCTGTGGTTCTTAACTTTTTTTAAAAATAAAAATTACCTGCAAAACTTTAAATACATTTTTTTTATTTGTTTAAAAGTCCTGGACATTATTATTATTTTTTATTTTGTTTGTCCTTTAAAATTATACCTTTTAAATTCCTAAAAATTATTATTATTTTTTTTTTACCAGAAATTTATATTTGCCTAAATAAAAATTTAAAAATAAAAATAAATTATGATTTGTTTTTTTGATGGTTCTTAACTTTTTCACAGTGCTGAATATATTTTTTTAATTTTTTATTCTTTTAACATCTTTACGTCCAAAGCAAGTAACCACTATTAGAGTTGGAAGTTGCTGGCAGAAAAAAGATGTAATTTGTAAAGCAAGATAACTATTAACAGATGACTTGAAATATTGCAAATTATATGAATCAGGAAAACAAGATAAAGGAAGAAAATTCCAAAGAACTGATGTCTGAGGAAAAAAACTAGACAAAAAAGATTTTTTGGATCACTTAGGAACACATTAAAAAGATGAGACTTAATTGAATGATGAGTAACATAACAATGAATTTTAATAGATGGCACAAGAGACACTAGCTCTTTAAAGCAGTGCCTGTTATAGTATTAATAGAAATGAGAAAGAGAAGCAGCTTTGCGATGATGTGACAATGTTTGAAGGTTGGCTGCATGAGCAGGTCCAACTATGTTTACAATGCGGTTTTGAACCTTGTTTAAAAGAGAAAGGGAAGATCTGCCCCAGATACGACAATAGTATTCCATACAAGGACGGATTTGAGGTTTATAGAGATAAAGAACTGAATCTGGAGTAAGAAACTGGCAAGAATGATTAAGGGATGAAACCTTAGCAGATGCTAATTTTGTAATGGATTTACATTTGATATATGGTTTTCAACAAAGATCGTAGGTAAGAGTTAATCCTAGAAGATGAAGGATAGATGAACAATCGAGGTGAAACTTATATAAACTTCTCTTCCAGTAACTCCCTACTCTATTATTGGTTGCTTGCAACCTTACTGGAAGTAATGATGTTGAAAAAAAAAATAGTTTCCAAAAAAGATTGGAAATGAGAAAAACTCCTGGAAGTAATGATGTTGAAAAAAAAATAGTTTCCAAGAAAGATTGGAAATAGGAGAAGGAAAAGGGTATATGACTCATCGATTACATTATCATTTATAAATGGAATTTATGAATGGTTATGTACTCGAACTTATAGTAATGTTCGGAACTTAAAATCGTTGAGAGGTAATTAAAGATTCCATGCTAGCCTGAATCCAAAAAGTTACATAAGAAGCACATTTGTCAGCAGGAAAATGAAAAATTTCTCATCAATTCCCATTGAATCCAACTGATCAGTTCCATTGATAATATTTATGTTATGATGAATTTCTAGTTTTAAGTATAATAGCTATTATAAAATGGCAAAAGTAAATTTTCTGTATTCAAAATTAAAAGAAATATAAAAGACTGATTTCATATAGTAACGAAGTAGAATTACTTGATTGATTATTAACAGGGTGGCTACTGGTCATGGAAATCATAAAAATGTCATGAAATTTTATTTGGTCATAGAAAAAGTCATGGAATTCTTTAATTTTCATTGAAAGTCATGGAAAGTTCATGGAAATTTTTAAAATGATTTTCTACTTGTGATTTTTTTATGATGCAAATAAAAGTACAAGTCCAAGTCCTTTTTGAAAAAGATATTTTTGCTAAGTTATCAGAGTAAAAGAAAAAGAAAATTTTTCTGACATGGTTTCAGAACTTTCTAACATTTAGTTTTAGGTTTGCATGTTTTATAATGACAAAGTTGCAAATGCCTAGTGTATGGCAAGTACTGAATATTTTAGGTGGTTCAGACCATGCAAGATCTCTATAAATCTTTGATCTCATATTTCTTCCTTTGGACTCACCCTACCATCACACTACTTACTAATACCATAAAGCTGACTGGGATTCTTTTCATGATTTTCTTCATGATGGTCCTTGGGCTGATATCTTTTCTCTCTCAGCTGAAAAATGCCTCTTACATAATCTCCTGGATTCATGCAAGAGTTTAGCTTTTATTACTTCTTGTTGGTTTCAAGTCAAGCTTCATTCTACTCAATGGTTTTCACCTATTTGTACAGCTGCTATATCTAATTGTAATCATTTTTTTCATCT